GTCTCTAGCTCTTATATCTTCTGAGATCGACGCGTTCATACATACGGATGGACGGACGGACAGACAGACGGACAGCGCCAAAACGACTCAGCTTGTCGCCCTGATCAAGAAAATATATAATTTGTGGGGTCTGCCACACCTCCTTCTGCCTGTTACATACCTTTAACAAAACCATTATACCCTGATTTCCCATTTTCAATGGGTTCAGGGTATAAAAATAAATAAATAAAGCACCGTGGAGTCCGGTTATAACGACAGTTGGAAAATTTAAAATGGATTTCGTTGAAATATTGCTTAAATGAAAATCGTATAGTAATTTCGAATAATCGGGATTCCACTGTATATCGTGTATCGTATCGTCGAGGGGCGACTTCAATGAATATATATTATATTACGTATACGTAATTATTTAATACTTCGATTTCAAACACTCGAAATTGAATTTGAATAAATTTAAATGCTGAACAAATTAATGAACTGCTTTTTATTTTATATTCTTATTTATTATTTAGCATTTCCAGTAAGTTTTGGAGTAGCAGGCTCTACGCTGCTGTCAAAATACGACTGATTTTTGAGCTTATTTCGTTACAGTTATGGAAATTTGGTTTTTAGCACACTAACAACACTTGACTTTTCATATTATTTTTGTTTTTAATAGTCAATTTTAATAGCTTTTAATTGTAATTTTATAATATTTTAAGCGAAACTATTTTTAACTTTAACCGTACACACACGCACACTCACTCACTCGCACGAGCCATGTTTGATAGACTTTCCGTACCAGAGGCAGCCATCGCAAAGCACCTGGAGCCATGGGAGAAGATCAAGTGGAAGGATGACCAACTGCACACCATCTATAACGACTGGGGCACTTACTTCGCGCGGAACGCGAAGCTGAACCTTGGCACTAAGTATTTTGATGCTGCGCTCAAGCTGAGCCCCGAGAACATTGACTCCCTGCTGAAGCGAAGTCAGGTGAAGCGGGCGAAGGCGGCGCCAATGGAAGGGCTCGCTGACGCGATGCACTCAAAGAGTTAAGAGTCACATATTGCACATGTTTCATAATAGTTCTATATTTTCGAGCCACCACAGCGATTTTCAAGCGCGACAACCCACGCGGCTCGTGTCGCGAAATTGATTTGGAGATCTGTGATGCACTCCTCGATTCGAACCAGTTCGAGGAGGCATTGAGCTTCGCCTGCACCAACATGAAAGACCTAACCTATTCGCATGCACTAGCCATGGAGAAGCGCATATATCTGGTAGGTAGAAGATATCCCACAATGGCAAATGGAAATGCTCTATTCACTCACGTGCTCTCAGGTTAATCGAATCGTGAACGACGTGCTATCGACTGAAACAGAATCGTCTGTGTATCGCCTGATAACTAGCATGATGAAAGATATAGCCACACAGCCCAAATACGTGAAGTCAGAATGTGATGTGCTGAGCATAGTACAAAAGCAGGTAACGAAATCAATTGCTCTCAGATCCATTGAGGTGTAGAAATTTTTATGTTTCGTATTCGCATTCAGCCCAAGATTCTCTCGCCGCTGGAGAAGAAGCGGCTTGAGCGTCGATTCAAGACATTCACCCAGGCCTATGTGAATAACTCGTGGATGGACGTTACGTTTCTGAAGAATCTACGGGATAATCCAAATCTTTTACTGAAGCAAAGTGTTCAATCCTCAGAATATTTGCAAAATCTGACCAACGAGCGGTACCACACATTGCGAAACTTTACGGTGAGTCTTCATTGAAGGTATTCGGCGAGTAGCTGCGATTCTCATTCCCGTTCGGTCTCAGAAAATGCTCCACGCTCGCCAGACCATGTACAGCAAACAATTTCCGAATAAGCCTTCCTCGCGCAAGATCCAGGAGGAGAACTTCTTCCGCATACAGAATCAAACGAGGCGAAATATGTTCAAGATGCTGCAGAACATACGAGCTTTGATCAGACGAAATGATCTAGCTGTAAACTGCTATATATGTATATTATTTGTATATTATATACTCACAAGATATTCGTTTCAGAAATTGACAAAGTTCGTGGCCAACGTGATGGACTCCTATGTGTCGATCAAGACGCACCGCGTTATGCCTTGGAAATTTGAATTCATTAATGAGGTCCTCAACTACTTGGGTTTGGCCCGCATTAATGAATACAAAATTTCAAGCATTTATAAATCGATGGGGCGTTCAAATCTGCTGGATCTATTTAAGATCTCACACCATGTCTCCAACCTGTCCAATGTAATCACGAATGATTTAGGCCAGATCAAAAGGGAGAAGTTCGAGGATGCAAAGGCCTTGCTCAAGTTAGATATACGCATATGTACGTTCATTTAGCACAGTTATATCTCACTCATATTGCAGACAACGCATGGATCAGTTCGAGACGCGCTTGCGATTCGCCAAATATACCATTGAGCGCTGTTATCTGTACCACGAGGCGGCGCAGGCGCACCTGAACAGTCACTCCTTCGACAAATGCTGTCAGCTGGCCCGCAAAGCAATGGATGGTATGCATAATCACTTATTGTATCATGTCGACAGATCTCCCTTCTATATGACCTTCCAGAGGCCGAGAAGGGCCGGCACTATGTGTGGGGCGCTCTGAGCGCCCTCATCGCCTGCAAAGCGCACACCGTGTTGGGGAAGGTGGAGAAGCAGAAGCAAATGCTGAACGAGGCCTTTAAGTATGCCAAGCAACTGAAGAACATCGATCTCATTCTGTTCATTGACATTTGCCTGCGGGTCAACAACGAGGAACTGGAACTGAAGACCGCTTTTACCTATGACGGCTCCGGCAGGCGTCGATTGCGTCGGCTGATGACCAGCCTCGACACCTCCCGTGATAGCTCTATCAATACAAATTCCAACTCATTTGCACACGAAATGCCCACAGGTAACTCCAGGGAATGAATTATGAATAGTGTTTTGGATTCGTATAAATAATATAATATGCATTATATATGCATATGTATATACATATCTATAAATATATATAATATAATGTATGTATATATATGTATATACATATGTATGTATATACTAATAAATGCATATAAATTTACTCGGCTATCGCAGCTGCCTTTCGACTCTGTCTAAAAGTTTAAAGTTTGCGGCAAAACTTAGTGAGGTTTTTCAATTTTTCAGTTTTCCGTTCTAGCTGCGCTGTTTTAGCAAAAGTTTTCATCCAGCACAAATGCCGCAAAACACACGAAAGAGAAAACATTAACGCGTCTTGGACATTCAATCACTGCAAGTGCTGCAACAACAACTTTTCTTACAGCTTTCCACTCCCGTCTTATTTATAAACATTAAATATTTCTTGCCAAAAGTGGGCAGCCTTTTCTAAATTCTAGCTCTGGGTTCTGTTAGTTTCTTAACAATTATGTGGTCCCCTGAGTCGAATAGTTTATTTTCCCAAAAGAACTCGATTCGTGTTAATGATTCCTAAATATAAATATGTAAATAAAAGCAAATATATAAATATGAATAGGTTTATGTGAAATATGTAAATGTCGAATAGATAATCGCTTCAAATATAAATATCTAAGATTTCATGTCTTCCTCGACTGCCTTTGCCTTCTGTCTTATTCGCGTAGGGGATTCGAGCGTCGTCGATGCTTGAGCTCGACAGCTTGTAGCTTGTTAGGGCAAACTTTTCGCACGCGGCATCTGGGCTGGGCGACGCATGGGCGGTGCTGGGGGGCGTGGTGAGCGTAAATCAGGATTTCTTCAGCTGTTCACGCCCACTGCGGGCGGAAGTACCGCTAACATTGCACAAAAGACGCAAATAAATGAAGCCATTTGTTGTGCTCTGCGCTGATTTCTGATGCAAAGGCTGCCGCTCGAGTCGCAGCAGGTCGCAGGAGGTCGCAGCAAAGTTTCCTGCCACCTGCCATTGAAAATTGTTAACAATTTCCATTAGTTGCTTGTCATTTAAATTCCGCATGTATTTTTAAAATTCAGCACGCCAAGCCAGCCCCCGCTTCACACCTTCAGCTGGAAGCGATCTCCCTCCCCAGGCCCCGCCCAGCCGTGGTGCTAGTTTCTGCTGCTGCAGGTGTTGTCCAACTTTGTTCGCAGTCAAGTCGAGAGTTTCGTGGGGCATACAAATGATGTACATGCAACGGAAGTGGATAATTTAGCAGCGGAAATCATTTGTCGCCCTTTTTGTCAGCCGTTAGTCCAACAACATTTTTCCTCCTTTAATTTATGACTTGACCATAATTAATTGAAGCACAGCTAAGAATTTCATAAGAATTCCGGATGCCAGCGAGAAACAATTCTTTAATCTTGCTAGCACAGAATTACACAAGACTTTGTACAATTGCACCATGACACAGTTAACTAAACATTTGAGTAACTATAACGAATTTCAGGATTTTAATATAATCAATGGATTAGCATTATATAGGAGAGAAAAATACACAGATAAATTGCAATTTACCAAAAACCAAGTCAATTTAACCATCGGTAAAATGTATTTTTTTTATTTTCTTTTTTAAGAATTCTTTATTCCGGCTTCTAGTCTTAGACTCTATAGCGCACTCATTATTAAAACTTAATCTACATTTTGGGCTAGAATCCAGTATTTACATTACTTACAATTATTTGTGGAGATCTGTGGTTCAAGGGGTGAACCCTTTTCAGCCTTCGCCTATTGTTGCTGTGGGCCAGGTCAGTAGCCAGTCGATTTGTGTAAGCCAAAAGCCTGTCCGCGTCACTTGAGCAGTAATACTCTCTTTTTATTTATTTATTTTTTTATTTATTTATTTCTTTTTTTTTAATTGTTTGGAATATTCAATGCCTCTTTATATTAATTGCTAATATTTCGTTGACATATTTACAGTACATATTTTGTTAGGCTCTTCTGAGCCATTTTTTTTATTGAGAATATAAAGCTTTATTATATATTATTATTATTTTATTTTTATTTTTTTAATTTTATATACAATTATTTAAATAACTACATACCAAATTCAAAATTCCTAAACTGTTCAATGATTATAAACGAGTTTGTAAATGAACTTGAAGTACACTAGAAGATCAATTCAACTTACATGCTTTTCTTTCAGCGGAAAGAAGAACTCTTATACTGTATTGCCTACTATTTAATACAGATTAACTAAATAAACTAGAGAAGCCAAAACACAATTATAGAGCTCTTGAAAATTTTTATTATCATTTTTTTAAGTGATTTGGGATTTATAAAATCTCATTTAAGGGTTGCCTTAAGATTCAAAGCAGCTGGAGACGAATTTTCCCCAGAATTTCAGTAAATGATATTTCAGCTCATGATGAAAAGGTAATTTATATTAAGTATTCAAATTAAACCGCTGAGTTATAGTAATAGAATTGCATGACTCATGTTAACTTAAAGTAATACTTAGAATCTCACATAAAAATCTTAACCAATCTTACTTTCTGAAAGCCTATTAAAGGTACTGCCTTTTGTCATTTACTTGAAATGCTTTGGATTTAATGGTTAGTCGGGCCCATTTCTGCCCAAGAACAATTGCAGAAATCAGCTTTAAGCTGTTCCAAATTACCGCAAATGGCGCTCAATGGAGTTGCTGAAGCGGATTCAGAAATGTCTTCAAGCTGATGCTTTGTGCTTTTCCCCTGCAAAATTGCACAAAGCCCAATACGAACAAAAAGAATGCTCGTTAGGTGGATGGCGCTGGAAGTGGGCGAGTGAGTGGGTGGGGCAGGGGCAGCAAGAGTGCGGCTGTCAGGGCAAAACAAAGCCAATTGGCAGCAGGCAGCTAACAAACTGCAACTCAACTTTGTAGACAGACCGGAGGCTTTTGCTGTATCTGCTATTATTATTATTGTTGTTGTTGTTGCTGTTGTTGTCGACGTCGACACCGACGCATGCCATAAAAATGCAGGAGCAGAAAATCTGCTGCTTGCAAGCAATTAAAAGCGCAGCAAAGCAAATAAATGGCCACGCCCCTGATCTAGTAACGCCCACAGCTATTGTCGTCCCTTCTCCCATCACCTCCTCATCCATCCCGCGCTTTCGTCTGTCGCATAAGCTCTATGTAGTTACCAAGTTGACGTAGTAGCTGACTAATTAGTCATAAAATTACATGACGCAGGACGACCAACAGCTCGACAACCATAACATGGCAGCAAGAGAGAATCCCACAAAGGCCCAACAAACAACAGACGAGCAGCCGAGCAGTCAGCAGTGGAGCAGCCAAGTCAAAGTGCAAAGTGCCACCGGAAGCAGTTGGCGCTGGCGGAAATGCGTGCCAGTGTCCCAGCGATTGGTCTGGGCGATTGGGTGGTTACCCGCCGTTGCGTTGGCTGCCTGACCCGCTTAAGAGCTGGCTGTTCCGTTGGCTGGCAACGGCGGGCGGGCGGTGGGGCAGGCAGTAAACTGAAACTGGTGTGTCACTAATTGCTGATTTCCCTCAGTTGGCAGCCGCAACTGCCACAGGAACTAGGTATGGACCACATGCAGCACACATGCAGTTTCAATATAAAAATACGAACTGTGAAGCCCTAAACGTGTGAGGCATTATAGCATATTAAATACGCCTGAAATTCCCGGGAAAAGTTCATTGGGCATCGAAGTAGTTTTGAATAGGACTTTGAAGAGTAAGTAACTAATATTGGAAAATGCATGGTAGACTAGAGTATGAAAGCCGATTTACTTTTCCTTAGACTGCGGGTAATTAAAATTCATAAATGATAGAGAAATGGGAATATAAATATGCAACTAAGCATATAAAGTAAATAAACACGATTGGCTTGCGAGCTTGTTAAATAACATCTTCTTAGTGGGAGACTGTAGAGTAGGTTTAGTTCCTTATGCATACATATATGAAAAAATTATTTTTACAAACTTGCAAACAAACTCTCTAAGCTTCCATTGAGTATAGCATTTACCTTAAGCCATAAATAATACGAAAAATAAACATTTTAATATGAATTTTATATATTTTTGAAATCGGAATTTGGA